TGCTTTTCGCTGATAAAAATCACCACATCGGAAATGTTTTGGATCATGCCCAGAATAATTTTAGAGGGTGCCGGAAATGTTCTGGGACCTTCCGGGATTTTTCAGAATTTTTTTTTCGTGAAAAACATCTTGTCTCAGCACGAGGGGACAAGATCCCACGAATCGGGGGTTACATGTTTGGTGGCTTTTTGTCTAGGGAGCACCTATGTTTATAGGAGACATGTTGGTGGCTTGTTGGAGGGCCCCCCATGGGAGGGGGCAAGGTTGTGGCTGGCCAAGGGGGTGCCTCCATGGTGTCCCCTTGGTGCCCCACTTGAGTTACCATTTCACCCTTCATGTGGGCCATCTAGCATGGGTGTTTTGGTATTTCCTCCACCACGCCACCCCTTGCCTTGGCCTATAAAAGGAGGAGAAGGGGCTGCCATTCTCCTCATCCCTTCTCATATACAAGTGCCATGCAATGATCTGGCTTATCTCTCCCTCCCCGCGAAATAGTTTCGTAGAGACGAAAGGTTGTCTGGGTTCCGGCAGGAACTAGTTCTGGACGGCGAAGCCCTGCCGGATAGATGACACCGTATGTTGTGCAACTCTGTAGACAGATTGTAGTTTCGGCTTAGTTCGTGAGTGCCTCCTGAAGGGTTGTCCTTGTGGCCGTTCGAGTTTCGAAGGTCCTCCCGAAGGGCTGTCCGAGTGACCGTTCGAGTTTCGAAGGTCCTCCCGAAGGACTGTCCACGACACCGTCCGGGGGGCTATTCGACAGCCTCCCGGAGTGCTGTCTGAAGTGCAGATGAGGGTATACATACTCGCGGTTGGTAGGTTGTAAATACTAGCTGTCGGGATCTGCACCGCCCATCGTCATCGACTCTACTTCCTGCTGCGCTACGAGTCGGTAACGAAAAAGATCAAACCATGAATGCAGTCTCCATAGTGGTCCTGGGCTGGTGCGTAGGTCGGAAAAAATTTGTTTTCTGCTGCGTTACCCTATAGAGATTACAGCGGGGAGAAGAGGTGTTACAGCGCTACATAGAGGGGGAGAAAGTTGGTGTTGACGGTAGCAAGATTGTTGATAGATCGCCGTCTCGATCGTTGCCCTAGCGGCACTCCAGCGCCACCGGAAGCGAGGGGAAGAGAACCCCCCTCCTCCTTCTTCTTCCTTGCCCCCCCTAGATGGGAGGAGAGTTCCCCCTCTGGTCCATGGTCACCATAGCGGCGGAGGAGCTCCCGCCCCTTCGAGATTGGATCTCCCTCTCTGTTCTCTTCTGTTTCGCGTTCGTCAGATCTGGCCCTTCACGGTTTGTTATATTCCCAGAGATCCGTAACTCCGATTGCGCTGAAATTTTTACATGATTTTTTCCATAAATTATTTTTCTTGCGCTAGAAGAAGGGCCCCAACCGACCTTCGAGGAGGGCACAAGACACCTGGACACGCCAGGGGGTGCCTGGCGCGCCCTGGTGGGTTGTGGGCACTGTGGGGCCCCGTTTGCGTTGATTCCACCTCCTAAAAATCACATATATTCCAAAATAATTTTCCGTAAATTTTTATCGCGTTTTGACTTCGTTTGATATGGATTTTCTGCGAAACAAAAACATGCAACAAACAGGAACTGACACTGGGCACTGGATAAGTAAGTTAGTCCTAATAAATCATATAAAAACTTGTCAAAAGTATGGAAAAGTTGTATAATATTGGCATGAAACATTCAAGAATTATAGATAAGACGGAGACGTATCAGAGACCTTCGAAGTGGATACAGTAAGTCACAACGACAAGTCTTTTTTCGTAATTAAGCATGACTTATGCTTCATTTTCTTCAACTTATAATTTTAACTTTTACTATTCTACTAGCATATCCCCTGCCATGTAAGAATTTTTATCTTGTATAAGATTGGTTTCAGTCCTATGAAAACTATGGAGGTAAAGAGAGTTCACTTCAAGACCGAGCATGGTTATACTTTCGACGTAAAATTATACAATGCAGACACCTAGACCTATTTTAAATGCAAAACTTGGAGAGCACTTTACAAGGCTTATGCATTTGAGCCTGGTATGCTTATCACCTTTGATATTCGTCCGGAAGATGATATTGAATGTAATATCGACATCTGGGTCGATGTGCAGACGCCTCCAGTTCTACCATTATGTGAGTTTCTCAACCATATTTATGTCTTCGATATTGTTTATTCAAAAATAGTTGACAACTAATTTCTATTGACAGCTTATTTCCATTCAAGCAAACATGTCCGACGCTTGGTAGATATGACCGTCCACTGTCCCGGGGCTGAACTAAGCTGTGAGGAGATAAATCATTATGTTTCATGGCTTGAGGATCTGTCAAGAGAAATTATTTTCCTGGACTTAAAAATCTTAGTACTCAAAACATATGACCAATAGTGTTCGTATTGAACTACGGTCACATCAATTTTGGAAATATGGTAAAAAAATTACTATTTGTCCTTAGTGCATCTTTTGCATACATTGTATTTAAGCTAAACTTCATTGCTAAGTATGTTACTATACGATGCTCTTCAACAGGGACTCCCGATGATAGTTGTGCCTCATTGGATCGATACTAATGGTCGCATGGCAATGGTTAGCTTACGGCCAAGACATCCTACATTGCACATGAGTGTATTCAGCATTTCTAAAACTGAGCAGTGCTTAATAGTGAAAAACTGGAGCAGATTTGTGAACGATCGAAGAGAAGTACTAGGGGACAGCAATCAAAAGTGTAGCCCACAATTAGGAGTCAGGTTCATCTGCATGCTCCAATATGATGAATCAGGAGAGGTACACATGTTCTATACTATTTTACCTGAGAGAGAGCTGCAGGAGTGATTAGCTAGTTCTTGCTCTTAGTACTTGTCCTCTCATGTCCGTGTTCTTCGTCCTGAACTTAATCTCAAAGTGATTTGCTTTTGTGGTCTTATGAACGCTTATAATCTCATGACCATCTTGAACTCGATGATATCTTTGCTTCTGGTACAAGTGAATGTTTCTTCTTTAAGCTAGAATGAGTTTGAAAATGATGATGTGCTACACTATATGACTGTGATGATTAAATAGCTAGTGTTGGTGGTAATGACTATGATGATTATTATTAGCTAGTGTTGGTAGTGATTAGATAGCGGTAATGACAATGATGATTAAATAGTGGTAATGACGACTATGATCATTATTAGCTAGTGTTGTTGGTGATGATATGATGCAAGAATTTTTACATTAATATGATGATGACGACGACGATGATGATGATCATGATGATGATGATAATCCATATTACTTGATCACTTAAGATCCATCCACTTGGAACTAATCAACGGTTTTTTCACATAGTGATACTAAATTATACAATATGTAGTATCGTAAAATACCAGTAACTAAAAAAAATTAAATGGAAAACACAAAATTAAAGAAAAAAATGAAAAATAAAACCAGAGCCCCTAAACCTTTTAGTACCGGTTGGTGTTACCAACTGCTACTAATGCTCTCCCCGCCCCCGGCGCTGGCTCGTGCCACGTGTTGGCCCTTTAGTGGCGGTTGGTGTTGAATCGGTACTAAAGGGGGGTCCTTTAGTCCCCATCCTTTAGTGCCGGTTGCTGAACCAGCACTAAAGGGCCTTACGAACCGGTGCTAAAGCCCGGTTCTACACTAGTGTGCAAACCAGTCTCCACACCCATTGACAGTAGCTCTAAGTTGTGCCTTGCCGTTGGTCATCTCTTGTCCAATCTCACTTACTACCGCAGCTTAGCAGGTGCCTTACAGTATCTCATTTTAACTCGGCTGGACATCTCCTATGCAGTTCAATAGGTGTGCTTGTTTATGCATGAGCCTCATGACACTCACATGCAACTCATCAAGGGGATCCTTCAGTATCTCCAAGGCACCTCGCATTACAGACTCCAGCTCTACATGTCCGCTTCCACGGACCTCATTATGGACTCCAGTTTTACATGTCCGCTTCCACGGACCTCATTGCTGGTGTCCGGACACATGGAAATCTACATCTGGTTTGTGTGTTTTTCTTGGATCCAACCTCGTCTCTTGGTCCTTCAAACGGCAGGTCATCGTGTCCCATTCCAGTGCAGAGGCAGAGTATCGAGGCGTTGCTAACAGTGTTGCAGAGTCATGCTGGCTTCGATAACTCCTTCACGAGCTCCAGTGTCCACCGCAGCGTGCCACCATTGTCTATTATGAGAATATCAATGCATACTATCTTGCTTCCAACCCGATGCAGCATCAAAGCAACAAGCACATTGAGATTGATCTTCATTTTTGTGCGTGACCGGGTTTCCTTGGGAGAAGCTCGAGTGTTACATGTTCTGTCTAGCTCCCAGTTTGCTGTTTTGTCCAGCAAAGGACTACC